TATTTTCAAAAATAAAGGCATATAAGCAAAACACAATAGCAAAAACGAAAGACAAGAATACACAAATATACCATAGTATAATAACACAATGACGGAATGTATAAGTACAGAGCCACGTCAAATGACACCACCAAAATGGATTAAACAATAAAAGCAACAATTTACAACGAGAATTGAAAGATCACTATAACACGTTATTTAGATAATTAGCGGAGACAGTACATTGTAGATAATTTAAGATTTTAACTCGGGTAATAGTATAATAACACAATGACGGAATGTATAAGTACAGAGCCACGTCAAATGACACCACCAAAATGGATTAAACAATAAAAGCAACAATTTACAACGAGAATTGAAAGATCACTATAACACGTTATTTAGATAATTAGCGGAGACAGTACATTGTAGATAATTTAAGATTTTAACTCGGGTAATAGTGTTCGAAACAAACGTAGTCCACTGGAGTATTTGGGATTTTGCACTGCACTTTGTTTTTGATCTCAAAAGATGATTAAATTTCCAAACAGTTGAGTTTCACTTGATATGTTCTGCTTAATGACACTGTTTAAAAAATCACCAATTATTGTCAGGTATGTTTAGTTTCTCTATTGTACATGTCAATCAATACAGTTCATTTCAAATGGAGCTTTCTTATAGTAGAGATCACCACGATATTGACGAACGAATTAGAGGTTCATCATAACAAATGGACAAAAAGTGCTGAAAATCTACTCTGTGTACATACTAACTTGTGCAGTTTAAAAAGTTTTGAGGCCTGGCATGCATAAAAGTTGAATGCATATTGTGTTTCAATAAGACAAAATACCATTTGGATTTGTATTGGCATTTATTTTATGATCCTGCAAAAGGTGTAAAAATATTTTGAATTGAGATAATCTTTGAGATACTCCCTCTCAGGTAACAACTGTATTGTATTGTATTTATTATCCATGATTGACATGGACAATAAAATGACAATAGATATCTATACGACAATAAATGAGTTAAAGGGTATATCTGAGTGGACAGCATAAAATAAGACGTTTAAAAGTTTCAGAACGTGTTACTTTTCTTACGATAGAATGTTGTTGTTTGCAACTGTTGATTTCAAATAAAATGTACATCACTTATATGAATATTCGAGTGCATCGATGAATTGTGCAATGTTCAATCAAATATGAATGCAGAAATAATTTATAACTTTATTCTTGTTGGATCGTATGCTTGCTCTGTATTTTCATTTAGGTATTCAAGATTCAGACAAACAAATATCTCCGTTTAAAAAAGAAAAAAAAAGAATCAAAAAGGTTTTGTTTCAAATAAAAAATGATTTCTGTTGCAAATAGTTCTTTATCATATCTGTCAACTTCTAATCTTGGCAACTATTTTAGTGTAAAAGCCTGGTCATAAGAGTGAATGAATAATTTTGTTATTGAAGTTTCCTAGACAAAATGCATAACTGGTTTTGTATAAAGACGTTCTACTATTTAAAAGAAAAAATATTCATGTCAAAAAGACCACATGCGCTTGTCGGGTACACCAGCCTTTTTTTCCTTTTTTATAATTATTTTTAGATTATCATTATGTATTAGAATATTGGATTTTCTATGTTTATACCACTAAGTATATGTATCACCACTACTTATGCCGTACATTGTTTTGAGTAAAATCTGTTAGACTTACAACCCCTTATTTTTATATCCATTACTAGAACAACATTTTTAAGTTTGGATATTAAGAGAAGAGATGCAATGATTAATAAAATTGAGAATGGACATGGGGAATGTGTCGAAGAGACAACAATCCGACCATAGAGCACACAACAGCCAAAGGCAACTAATGGGTCTTCAATGAAGCGATAGAAACTCCCGCACCCGGAGGCGTCCATCAGCTGGCCCCTAAACACATAATATGTATATTAGTTCAGTGATAATGGACGACATACTAAACTCTGAATTATTCACAAAAACTAAAATTAAAAATCATACAAGACTGACAAAAGCCAGAGGCTCCTGACTTGGTACAGGTGCAAATATGCGGCGGGGGTTAAACATGTTTTTGAGATATAAACCATCCCCCTATACCTCTAGCCATACTGAATAGGATTCAAATTTATTAACTCTAATGACCCGTTCCTTTAGGAAATATTTATGGACCGCAACATGCTTCTTCTGGCATGGTTTGTTTGATAAAATCTTAAATAATTAGTAAATGTATTTACAATAGCATTGATTTCTTAAAACACTCGGAAAGCAAATAATATGATTGATCATTTAGACGATTTGATGATTGGGTAGGGTTAGGGTTGAACATTTCATGTCTTTTGAATTTATTTGCCTTCCTCAAGGTAGGGACGCAGAATAACTAAGAGAAACTCAGATGTTTCCTACTCCTAAAAGAAATAGACCAAATCATAATTAGATTTTTCCTAACTTTTTAAAAGTTTCCACAATTTCGTTAAGTTATGTATGCATTGATCATCAATCTTATAATTTTGACATTTTTACCTATCATGTCTGTTTGTTTTTGTTCAAACATCGTTGTGAATAATATGGATTTTTAAATTGCTGTCATAGAAGTGAGAGGTATAGCTAGTTATAAAACCAGGTTTAATCCACCATTTTCTTAATATGAAAAGCCGGTAAGAAGTCAAGAATATGACAGTTGTTATTCATTTGATGTGTTTGAGCTTTTGATTTTTTTGTCATTTGCCTTTTGAATTTTCGTTTAGAAATTGCCTTGGAGTTCGGTATTTTTGTTATTTCACTTTTTATGAATATATTGTCAAAAAAAGTCTGGGATATCAAGTGCATCATTTGCTATTGTGGAAAACATTGAACTATTTATGTGAGGAATCATATATAGATATAGGTATTATCTTCTTTAAACTACATGCAAACGATGAAAATTACTAAATTTAAATCAGAGTTTGTGTGTCCAATGTATTCATTAGCAGCTCCCGTTTCGTACAATTCGTCATATTAAGCTTTCGTTAGTTAGTTCGTCATTATACACAATATCCTTGTCATCTCTATTGATACGTATCAATCCATATATAGAACAGTTGTAGTACTTATAACATCTCGCAATCGAAAATAGTAATGTGTGTTTTCATTTCCGCAATGACATTCATATATAAAATAAATAAACAGAAATGATATCCGTTAACGTACATGTAGTGTATAAAACATACTATCGTTTCGAAACATGTTTGGACGGAGAAATAGAGTTTGAAAATATAGTTGGGCATAAGTTGCCTTTTTTATTATACAAAACAACAGTAACTACATAAAGGATCAACTAGTATTGTATAAGAATGTCATATAACTGTATGGTTAAATGTATAGAACTATATACATTTGTTTAAATTTCATCACGTTTTTTTCCCGAAATAAAAGAAGATTTGAAATCACCGTGTCTCAGTATGACCTTGCGAAGCTTTGGCATTCACTGTCTTATAACTGTAGCATACGTCTGCTTGTAGTTGCAATGTACCTTTGATCGGAGACATATATGTATTTCTCTGCTTAATGTTGAAAGTTGCCTTGTCGCCTTTCAATTTCAGTACACATGTGTATCGTAGTGTAATAAACGTTTTGCTAAACGTTTTGTTAAACACCAACACATCCAAGTAACCGCTCTGTAGACACAGTTCTTTCAATCTCCAATTGAAACATGCTTTGGATATGTTTATATATGTATACATTACGAATACACATATAGAAACCAGCAAATATATTAACATATAATGTGTAATGATTTAACATTTATTCTTACATAATGATAGAGAAACGTGTAAATTGAACACATTGTAAGTAACAAAACGAGAAGAAGCTCAATTTATCGCATACTTTACTGATTTAAGTGAATAACTACATTTACAAACGCATATACTCAATTAAATCACATCAAGGGAAATAATTATGATAATTTCGTTTGTAAGAGTTTTGTTTTACTACAGAATATTAGTATAGATCACTTTATTTATGGTGATGAACTATTGTCAAATTGAAAATGTAAACAATTTGATAAATATTTTTCTTCACAAAAGAAATCATCATTCACATATTTCGTAATATGTACAATATGAGTTTTCAAAATATCAAGAAATGGGATAAACTGTAATATTTTTTGTAGCTATATATAACATTGTGTATGTACATGTATGTGCATGTCCCATATGAGGAGCCTGCAATTCAGTGGTTGTCGTTTGTTGCTGTCTTACATATTTGTTGTTCGTTAATTTTGTATATTATTTTCTCGTTTGAATTGTTTTACGTTTCGTATTCCGGGGCCTTTTATAGCCGACTATGCCGTATAAGCTTTGCTAATTGTTGAATGCCTTACGATCAACTTAAATTGTTAATTTCGGTATCATTTGGTCTTGTGAAGAGTTTTCTCATTGCCAATCATACCACATCTTTTTTTAATATTAAATATATATTTTTTTTACTACTTAATCATTTTCGTACTATGTGTTTTTCTTATACAAGTACAAAATTGTAGAACTACTAAAATTTAACTTTGTATCAATTTCTTTGATAAAACTGACATTTAAAAAATCATAAAATTGCTCAACTGAATAAGATAGGTAAATTAAGATTTTATTTGAATACTAATGTTTCAAAACAAACTAGGTTCCCAGGAGTATATAGTTTTCACCCTTTCAAGCATTCAAATATGATCTGTAACATATTCCGCTAAATTGATGACTTTAAAACAAAGTTTTCTAAAGAGAGTAAACTAAGACGTAAAATCATACCTATTGATTTCAGCAACAAACAAAACAAACATGGCAGGTGGTACAAATAGCGACATGAATAATTAAAAATTTTAAGATAAAATATCGGTTTGATACAGATGCTTATTTGAATCAACTGTTCTTATTCTTATTAAGATATTTGATTTGAAAACAATACGTTCTTTGATTTTTTTAATTTCTCATTAACATATTCAATTTAAAAACAACAAATATAATATACAAAAGACCTGAGTTACGACAAAAGGACAAAATATAATTACAAACGTGTTTTGTACACCTTAAAATTAATAAACAATCACACGGACTGTCATTTACATACTTAGTAGATCTTTAAGATTAGGGTAAGTTTTACTAGATTTTTTTTAACTTTTTGTCTTTATCGTTAAGTTGTGTTATCTAATTTTTCCTGCTTTAAAAATGCAACTGTCTGCAATTTGAATCATTTCATTTTTGGTTAAAGTTTTTACCGAGTGTTTTGTACGATATTTTTAAGAATGTTAAATAATCCCATCTTATGCGCATAAAACGACAATTGTCATGTGAAAACATAATTATTATCATTATATATGGTAAAAATGTATGGAAAAGTCGGTCTTCTTTTTTTATAAAAGAGGGACGAAAGATACCAGAGGGACATTCAATTTATTACTTATCTTTTGAATTTATTGATACTTAAATATCGTTCTGAAATTCAATGAAACATCTGCCGCTGGACATTGAGTAAATAATGGTAGTTCATAAAATCTAATTAAATATATATTTCCGATTTTGTTGTCCTCATATATACGAGCACGTGAGTTAAGATAGATTGGTAGTTGATACTGTTTTTATTCTATAAAATGTAAGTTCAGAATATATGTTGTTTACGTAACTATTCATATAAGTTAATATAAATATGAGCGAACTAAAGACAACATTTTCAAATAAACAATGTATATGTTATGTACAAGTTGTAACTGCGTACAAATTATAATTTGTACAGGGTTTTTGTACCAGATATCAGTATTTTGACGCACACCTTCTTTCACCAGGTGATTCAAGTTTATTTTCAGTAATTATCCAGTTTGATTTTTTACTCACAAATTTATATACTTCAAGCTAACATTAAGCATTGTCCTCCATGTTATAAATGTTGTCGAAACTAAACAGTGATATACACAACATATATATATCTAATCAAATATTTCCCTTTTAGGCTTTGCCATCAAAGCAAGAAAGCACAATCGATGTTTTTACAGCGATCTTTGCATGAAAATGAGAGACAATGGAAGCAAATAGGAACAAAGAATAGGTTAGCATTATTGGTCCTTATTGATGATTTTATTAAAAAGGACGAGGAATTTCGGAAAGACAAAAATCGTACTTTTGAGAAAACCAGACGGGAGGAAAGAGATAAAAAGTTATTAGCAGATCGTGCAAAAAGATTGGAAAGATATAAGCAACATAATACAAGTTCTCTGTCTTTGAGGATTAACCAATTAGAAAAAAGAAAAAGAGATAGTAATGAAGCAGCGAGTAGGAAAATAAGGAAAATGGAGAAAGATATGGCCGAAAGAATGAAATTTCTTTCAACAAGGATTCAGAATGTTCAAACGCGTACACATAGAGCGAGGGAAAAGGAACGAAATGAAGCTCTTGAGAGAGAAAAGCAGCTAATGGAATCCGCAATTAGGAAATTAAATGCAATAAAAAAAGAAAATAAATTTAGAGAAGAGAAAAATAAAGAACAAGTCGAAGCAATGGAAAAACGTGTCCATGAACTTGAACGACAGAAAACCATAGCAAGCGTCAATGCAGAACATGCCATGCACATAATTGACAGAAACAGACAACAAAAACTTGAAAATTCGTTGCATCACTTTCGCAGTGTAGAGCGCCAATTTGAACAGGATGCAGTATTCCTTGCAGAACGAATAAATAACCTTGAACGTGAGAAAATTAAACAGAGAGAGATGCTTCGTCAGCGAAATGAAAAATTTAAGCAAGAAATCGAAAGAAGGAGAAAAATATTTTCTTTGCACAGACAAAACGATGAAAAATGGAAACAAGAATATATATCAAACTTAAAATCACGAATATCAAACGTATCAACATCAAAAGGTGGCTTAGGATCAGACATGCATGAAAACATTGCCGATGTTAAATTAAAAGCCGAAAAAGATAAGCTAGCATTTTTCAGAAAACAACGGGTTTTGCACGAGGAAAAGTTGAAAGAAGACGAAAATATGTGGAAAAGAATAAGAAATATGTCTAGTAAGAAAGAATTGGCAACGGATAAAATGATTGATGCGATACAAGATATCAGAGAGAAGAAAAAGGAACTCAAACAAAATATCAGCGACAAAGAGCCGGAACCGGAAGTTGAAGCCGAAATGTCACAGAAAGCAAAGACTTTACTGAAATTTGAATTGGAAGCAAAAGAACGAGAACAACAGAGAATCAAGGACGCTTTCAAAAAACTAATGGGCAATATATCTGATAAATCGTCAACCTTTATTCGTTGAGCAGACATTAAATGTATAAACGGAAAACATCATATATCAAAAGCAAATTCAATATTATGGTTATTTAATACTTGAACGAAATTCTAATATCTGATTCTAATCAACTTATTATATATCAATACTTTAATAAAAACGAAAGATGTAAAAGTTTCTTATATTTTTATATCAGCTCTATCGTAATTCCCCGCCTTAATCATTTGTATTCTTTAAATTTGCAATTATGCACATCTTTGAACATAGATAAATATATCAAAATAAACACAAAACGGTCTCATTTTCTATCAGCAGATTAAATATCCAGAGGAAAAATAAAATCTACGGAAACGTTGCAAAACAGCTCCACAAAACGTCAATTTCAAAAATGGCAATTAATTTAGTAATATATAATATGTAATAAACAATTAGGTTTCAATAGTATTTGAAACGCGATATACATGTGTGCTCATGTTTAAAATCTGGTAACCTGACTTTTAACATTTTTTTTCCAAAACGAAAATAAGGAGATATGTTATGACTGCAAATGAGATAAATTTTCTCCAAAGTCTGGAGAGAGAGATGTAAACAACTACATGTCACAGTTATTCAACATTAAGCCCACACAAAAAAATGTATTGAAAGCTTTCAAAGCAAACGTTATTTAACATTGAACCTACAAAAAAAGTATTTACAGCTTTCAAAGCGAAAATTATTCAACATTGAGATATCACTTAAAGTATTGAAAGCTTTCAAAGTTATTCAACATTGAGCCTACACAAAAAGTATTAAAAGCTTTCAAAGTGAAAATTATTCAACATCGAGCCTTCACAAAAAGTATTGAAAGCTTTCAAAAGCAAACGTTATTCAACATTGAGCCTACACAAAAAATATTGAAAACTTTCACAGCAAAAGTTATTCAACATTAAGCTTACACAAAAAGTATTGAAAGCTTTCAAAAGCAAAAGTTATCCAACATTGAGCCTTCACAAAAAATATTGAAAGCTTTCAAAACAGAATATGAATCAAATCAAAACGGAAAACTAATGGCTTGTTATTTTCTAATAACACTTATCACAAACAATTATGGTTGAAAGTGTAACCAGCATCAACCATTAGTACTGGCTCTTTATTTAGAAAAAAAACACGTAATGAAGATGGCTGTGAAAATCATGACATTGATCGAAAGACCTTCTCCAAATCTGAACAGTGGTGTTACAGTTCTTAATTAGAACACAATTATTAATATGAGAGAAAATGGTATACAACTGTCATGTATATTCACGTCAACTGTGTGTTTTTGTTAGATGCATTTCTACTTGTTTCCATCTGATAAGTCAATCCTTTTCAAATAATTTTTTTATAATTTGTTCTTATGCTGTACTGTTATATATCACTGTCCCAGGCTATTGGAGGGTTGAGCTCTTACAAACCTGTACAACCCCGTCACATTATGTATGGGCCTGTCCCAAGTCGGAAGCATGTAGTTCAATGGTTGTAGTTGGTTCATGTCTGTCATTTTTGTTTTTTCTTAAATCGTTTTGTTATAAATTAGGCCGTTATTTTTCTCAATTGAATTGTTTCATATTTTTCTTGTCGGGGCCGTTTAAAGCCGACCGTACGGTCTGGATTTTTTCTCGTTGTTGAAGGCCGTTTGATTGCCTATAATTACTTACGTCCACTTCATTTGAACCTTGGTGGATACATGTAGTTGTCTCATTGGCAATCGTATCACATCTCCTTATCTTTATATAGACCCCTAAGATCGGTACCAGATACACACAACTATATAGAACATACCTAACCGATCTCAGAGTACTCACAATTATGAAAAACTAGTTCAATCCAACGGTAATAGTTTATAGATGAGAATAATAATCGTATTTAACGACCCTATTCTGATCAGAAGTTGTTGTGTATTTGTACATTCCGAACGTTGAGAGCAGGGGGGTTAATTAACGACCGGGAGAATTCGAAATATCAGTTATAAAACATAATGAACAAATACTATGAATATGCGGATTTTTCATATCTACTCAAACCCGATCTCGCATTGCACCCTTTTTTTCTGATTTTTCGCACCAATAAAGCATATCAAAAAACAGGTGCGCTGCGAGATCGTTTTTTTTTTTCTATCTCTTTTTTACTATTTTCACATTGCCCAACCGATTGTGAAAAAAAATGTTCTTCTCACTAGTGAAATATCTGTTCTCGGCAAATGATTGGTCGAAATTTAATTATGGTGTCAAATTTTCTGGTTTCTTCTGATTTTCCGATTTTGACGTCATGAAAAAAGGTGACCGTGCTTGTTGACGTCACATATATAAAGAACACTACCACAACTTTCTGTAAATCTTTAAAAAAGAATGATAAAAATCTTTAGAGAAACAGATTCCCCCACTATAACTCGTGTATTACAATATTTCCCCACTTACAACAGCCAAATTTTAATTATTTAAAAAGCTCGGCAAGCCTCGCGCTTTAAACATTAAAATTCAATTGTCTCGAGTGGAGAAATATCAAAACACACGGGTGACCTGTTGCAGTGGTGGAATCTATATTTTTTAACTAAATTGCACTTAGATGTGAGTATACACCTTTTTAAACAACGGTAATTGAAGAACAAGACTACAGTTAAAAAGCGACAAGGATTTAATCATTGTCTCACTTCCCAAACTTTTAAAACATCAATAATTATTGATAATTACGTTTGCTATTGTTTTCATTGAAATGAAAATTTGAAAATCAATCTTTAACTTATCAATTACTCTTTTGAATTTCATGTTTTAACGCTAATTATTACTTGTGTAAATATTGACAAACATAATTAGACAGATCGAACAAAATACACCTGGGAAAATTATAGAAATGCTGACAAAGATTTCGAGTACCGTGTAGTCAAACAATTATGGCATCGGTTGGCTATAGGGAGAATTTATTTTTCAACCTTACAGAAGAGGAGAAGGAAGAGTTCACGTGTTCAATATGGTTTGTAATGCCATTAATTTATTTTTCTAATTGTTTAGAATTTAAAATTAGATGCCATTTTTTACTCTAAGTTGTAAAATATTTGTTTGGTTATATCGATAGGAGTAAAGCGATTTAGAAAGAAAATTCTGCCTATCTATATATGAAAAAAATGGAGATGTGCTATGAATGCTAATGAGCCAACTATCCACGGGAGTTAAAAAACGTGGGTATGAGCAAATATGGGTCACCGTATGGCCTTCAACAACGAGAAAAAAAAACTCATACCGTTTAGCTTACTGTAGCCCGTTATGACCACGTCTATATCGCGCTTCAAGATATCACAATATTTTCTTTGCAACTATTGAACATAAATACCGCAACATCCAATCCGTTCAACTGTTCAACCATGTGCTTACATAGGAGATAAGTCTGTTGACAAACTAAATTATTTTTTTAAAGAATATATATTTCTATACCGAAAAAACACATTTTCACATATAAGCATCGTTTGCAAGCTTAGTTCATCGGAAAGGTATCGTGAGCTATTTGCATCACTGGGTGTCCATTGTCATCATTAAACTTACATACATTGTCATATTTTGAAATGGAACCACTGGTCCAATTGTAATCAAACGTGTTAATAATAATGTATTCCCTATGAGAAATAATACATGCGTCAAATGTAGTAAAAAGTATAAAATTATGTATTGATCTGCAATAAAAGAGGAAAATAATATATATTTCAACGTAGCGTAATGTGTTATTAATATAGATGATAATTCTTGTAGTTGTCACATCTTACGGCAGCCCCATGAGTGTCAAAATGGTCACCAGTTTTGTCATTTCTGCATAACAAGATGGAGTTACCAAGCTTCTCATGGTTCCTGTCCAATGTGCCGAGTGGATGGACTTTACCGTGAGAATGTCGAGTTAGAAGATCGTATAAACCAGAAAATTGTACGATGTGAATGGAAAAAATGTTTTTGGACTGGGCCGCTGGCGAACTTGGAAACACATTTGCATACTGTATATGTGGAAAGAAATAGAAGAGATGCATATCGTAGTCTGGGAATGGATACGAATCGATCTCGGCAAAGTGAACGGTCACGAAAAACTGAACATTCAATCACGAAACAAAACACCGCCCTGTCCCAAAATATTCAGAAACTCGATTTACAAAGTCATGCTAAGCTCGAAAAAATATACAAACGTATCATAGAAGATGAATGGCAAAAGTTGAAAAAAGGAGAACATGTCAAGCGTCGTTTTATGAATTTAAAACGCCACATTGAAGAGGAAGACATGCGCATGCTTCATAGAATCAAGGAAGTGGAGATAAGGAAACTTAAAGAAATAGAAAACAATAAACGAAGAGTTAAAAGTCTAGATTTAACCAAAGAAAAGTTCAGGTATGCAAAGATATTGTTTCAGTTTAGCCAACACCGACATATTAGTCCAAAGCAATAGCAATTGTAATAGTAATAGCTGACACTTTTCACATGAGAAATGTGCGAACTGAAAAGATATCATACGAGCAAGAGAATAACTGCTGTACAAACAAATCTTATTATAGTTCAATACAATATAAACGATATGAATTATAAATGTTCGTATTTTAAAATTTTTATTCATTTTTTTATTATTTTAGAGAGACTTCCCTAAGAAGATCACTTCGAAAAGATAAAGAAATCAAAGATGAAAATATTTCACAAAAATATCGTATAGACAATATGCTGAAGAGAAGAAAATCTGAAAAAGAAAAAAATGAAATAAAATTTAAAGAGATAGAAAGAGTAAAATCGGAACGTAGTGAAAATTTTCAACGTAGACTTGAAAGAGAAGAACGTGAATGGAAAGAAAAACTAGAAGCTTTATTGAAAAAGATCAGAGAAACAGACAAAAAGAAAAACGAAGAAATAAAAACTATGCAAACAGAAATACAAAGCGAAAGAAGTAAAGATAAGGAGAAGGAATATAAACAAAAGAACATTTCTTTTTTCAACGTTTACAGAAAATGAAAAGCATTGAACTTGGAAAGACGTTCTTTATCTTTGACGAACTTCGTACTTTTATTGAATCTTATTTAATATCATTTCATAACGTAAGTTATTGAAAGGAATGTCTTGTAAAATAATGATAAGGAGATATTTTTGTAAACAGTATTAAATGTAGCGATGTTGATGGTCTGATATTCTACTGTTAGCTTTTTCTCATTTGAAAAAAAAAAACTGCTACAGCAATACGCCGTACACATATACGTGTTAAAGTAAAGAGCATAGATACATCAATGTAACGATATAACTAACCCGAAAATGAACATTAACATTTCGAATAGAATCTTAGATTTCAAAAAATTTAGGGAGGTAATTTTTTATTCGATTTTCTTGAAATTTTTCCATGTTTGATAAACTGTTATCTTCTATCATTTGTTACTAAAATCAACTACTAATGGTTGTCAATAAAACGTTTGATACATGTATTGATATATAGCTAATCGCATATTCATAAGCTCCAGAAGCGAGACGATTTGAGTCTGCATGAGGTATAGGGGATGGTTGAGATCTCACAAAACATGTTTTGTTTGATATTTCACAGTGATATCATACTTTAACTTTGTTTAAACCTGTTTATTTACGTTTGACTTTAATTATTTATCCCTTGTAATTTTTTATTAACTGTGTATTTGCATTCAGGTGTCACAGGTCAAATTTATTCGTTCATTGTGTGTTAACCTACGTTTTTTGATTGAGTTAAGCCTTCCAATTGATCTTTTATAGTGTGTTATTCTATGTTGTGATGTTATACTATTGTTTCAGAAAAGGGAGAAGGTTTGGTACCATTAAAACGTTTAATCCAGCTGCAAATGTTTGCACCTGTCCTAAGTCAGGAATCTGATTACAGTAGTTGTCGTCTGTTTATGTAGTTCATACGTGTTTCTCGTTTCTCGTTTTTATATAGGCTCACTGTTCGGTGTGAGCCAATACTCCGTGTTGAAGGCCGTACCTTGACCTATAATGGTTTACTTTTATAAATTGTAACTTGGATGGAGAGTTGTCTCATTGGCACTCATACCACATCTTCCTATATCTATTAACCCCGCCACATTTTTGCGCCTGTCCCAAGTCATGAGCCTCAGGCCTTTGTTAGTCTTGAATGATTTTTTAATTTTAGTTCATTTATATGTTTCGGGGTTTAGTGTGACGTCCAATTTTCACCGTTGGTTTTTCCGTTTAAATGGTTTTACACTAGTAATTTTTGGGGGCCTTTATAGCTTGCTGTTCGGTGTGAGCCAATACTCCGTGTTGAAGGCCGTACCTTGACCTATAATGGTTTACTTTTATAAATTGTAACTTGGATGGAGAGTTGTCTCATTGGCACTCATACCACATCTTCCTATATCTATTAACCCCGCCACATTTTTGCGCCTGTCCCAAGTCAGGAGCCTCAGGCCTTTGTTAGTCTTGAATGATTTTTTTATTTTAGTTCATTTATATGTTTCGGGGTTTAGTGTGACGTCCATTTTCACTGTACTAATACACACTTTTGTTTAGGGGCCAGATGAAGCCCGCCTCCGAGTGCAGGATTTTTTCGCTGTTTTGAGGACCCATTGGTGGCCTTGGGCTGTTTTCTGCTCTTTGCTCGAGTTGTTGTCTCTGACACATTCCCTATTTCCATTTTCAATTTTATGATATAGCCCTGAAATTACCTACAACAAACCGGCGGTCAGTTGGAACCATTTTTCTATCTTATTTTGTTTCTGCTTATTACATTGTAGTCTTTAAATTAAGCAACCCTTATTCCTTTGGTTTCTTTTTGTACCCATTAGTTTCTATTCTGAAAACCCAATCTAGACATGGTCAAATGGTCCCTGTCTATATTTGTCGTTAATTGTCTAAACATAAATTTATCTCGCTACGCTCGCTTTGTCTCGTACGTGATCGAATTTTCCCTAGATTTCAAATCTAATTTGATCCTTATTTCTTCACAGATGTTTGGTATCTCATATCTGATATAGAAATACAGTTGTTAAAGCTCCCGAATGAAATGGTAGAAAGGTTTATTTGAGTGTGCCTATTTTTGCACTGAATACACCCCAACAACATGACTGCAATTTCAATTCCTGTCACGTTAAATTAGATAGATATAAGAAGATGTGGTATGAGTACCAATGAGACAACTCTTCATCCAAGTCACAATTTGTAAAAGTAAACCATTATAGCTCAAAGTACGGCCTTCAACACGGAGCCTTGGCTCACACCGAACAGCAAGCTATAAATGGCCTAAAAAATGACTAGTGTAAAACCATTCAAACAGGAAAACCAACGGTCTAATCTATATCAAAAACGAGAAACGAGAAACAATTATGAACCACATCAACAAACAACAGCCACTGAACATCAGGTTCCTGGATTAGGTCAGGTTCACACAGACTGTAAAGAGCCAGTGTCGGTCACCTACATATATGTGCATCTTCCAAAATAGACACTCTGTAACATTGTAGACTAGATAATTGATGACTAAAATCTCTTTTTTGTAGATATCGTATTGCTGATTTTTTTTATTTTTGTAGTTTCTCTCAATCTTCTATAGCTTTTTCTCAAAATACAAAACAGGATAAAATAAAAGGATAAAGGTTCATTGGACATCATTTCGTTGAAGTTACCTTGATGATTCAGACAAAACGAAGGTACATGATTTACGAAGACACGTGTGTTCGACAAACCACAAAAAAAAGCAACAACTTATAGGCTATATATATCATGTGTTAGGCCTAAAAGGGACAGGTTTATAAATGAAATTGTATGAGGGTCTGGATTGCAGGGGGAGGGGTCCTTTATTTCTGTATTCTTTAAATTTTTAGGGCATTTTGCTTTATCTTTAAAAATAACGCTCATGCTACAAAATTCTAATGAAAATGATTTTACTATTGATTTTGTTCCATAATAAAATGATTTCTTTATGCTGTATATCATTCATTTCTGTAATTAGTATTGTTTTATCAATTTCATTTATTTTCCCTAGTTATTCTTTATACTTTTGCATCATATTATTCTTTATCCTTTGTTTTTTTCCCTATTCATCATTTTTTGGGGCCATTATTTTTTCTTCTGTAAACCCAATCCAGACCCTCATGTATCTGAGATTTAAGATCTGTTTCTGTCATTGCGCATGCTTATGTTTTTATTGTAGTACAGTTGTAAGTAAAGTTGGTTATATCTGTTATCTTTCTGGCCAAAAAAAAAAACTTATAAAAATGTGATCTTTTTAATGTGACCACAAAGTGCAACCGTCTTACTTTATATGCATGACATATTTGCCATTGGAGTCTAGGATAGCAACAACCAATACATATTACTAGTGTACATGCACTTGAATCTACTAATATCGGACAATATGATATAACTAGTTTATATTGCTAATAATACAGACCTTGGCGGAGTTATAAATTTTAGCGGCGCCCAACCCTCCCCGAACCTGGAACAGTGGTGAAAAGAACAACACTAGAACAAAATGTACAAAAAAAAAAACGACAAACAAATATGATCAATCGCAACTAACGACAACCAATTAATTACAGGCTCCTGACTCGAGACAGGCACAATATCATGTGGCGGGGTTAAGCATGTTTGCAGGCGCCCAACCGTCCCCTAACCCGAAACAGTGATGTAACAGCAAAACATAAGAACTGACAATACAAATCAATTGAAAAGGCATTGACTCGTCAGATCGATACATAGCAAACCAAACAACTAACAAAAAAGACACAAAGACACAATGCACCGATCTTAGAGGACTCCCAGTTACTGAAAGCCAGTTCAAAGTCAATAACCACTAAAAAAAGATGGTTTAACCCAGACAAAATACAACATTTATGTCGTTTCTAAAATATAAAGTACATTCTAATGCAGCCAATGTGGTTTCTTTAATAGAGAAATTTTAATATGTGTATAATTGATTAATATAATTTTTCACTTCGATTTTCAATAAAACTATTCGTTATGCTTATCCGATATTTCATAAAAAGAAAGACAACTGTAATTGTTCTTCGTTACACTATACAATACAATGATGTTTAATGATTGCCAATGAGATTATTATACACGAATCCAAATGACATATATGTTAGCAACTATAGGTAAGGGTACGCGGCCTTCAACAAAGAGCAAATCCGATAGCGTATACTAGCAGTCAGATATGCAAAGCCCGATTGCCATTTTTAATGTTTTTCGTTATTGTATCCGTTCTCTATTAAAAAGAACGACAACTGCTGTACGTCGTTTATCTACCTTTTATTGGGTATATCTGATATTCTAGCAAAAAGACAAATAAGATTATTCTGAGATAAAAAAAGAATACTACCTTACGTCACTTCACATGTACACAGTATACCCTTATGGCCATTAACCCCATGGATTAACTGGGTTTATAGAGACATCGTCGTTCCTTGGTCTTCTCCCGACCTGCAATAGACGTATTTACACTTACAGCGTTCATTGCGCCTATCGCCGGAAGTACAGCGGGTCAATAGGTCATTCGGAGACAAATCCTATGGCAACATCAAAACAAACATGCCCTTGTCAAAGTGGGGCGTCCGTTCGGCTGTGCGGGATATATGAATTCGCAGCCACGTACGGTCAAAATGGGGAAGTTAAACCAAATTCTTCGTATTGAGAGTACAAGGCTCTCTGCACATTAAGAAGCAATGTTGCTACTCTGTGATGGGTCTGTTAATGGCCTGTTGCAAGGTTAAATTGCTGTCCCTATCCAATAAACCTTCTTTTTTTTCAGCGGCATTCCAAATCCCCCCGCATCGTCCAGGTCAAATCCCTGTTGTAGGACCGACTTAATGTTTCTATTGTTTAATTTGTTTTAGTCCTGAAACATTTGCCACTGGACGTAAGGCAAACAACAATCAGTCTTATGAACATTTTGTACCTTAAATGTATGTTAATTGAACTTTATCGTTACATTGTCAACTATTGAAAAAAATTTAAATACAGTACTTCGTTGGTTGAAAAGCATTTATGAAAAAATTTAATATTCTTTACATTAATCTAAAAGGCTTTTGAAAATATTTGATTCGTAGTTTCATTCCGTTTAATGTACATTTACAAAAAGAGATAAAAAGAAAACAACAAACAAATACTTAGCTATGTGTAGTCGCTGTTACAAGAAAAAAGCAGACTTGTGATAACTTTTATACCAAGTATTATTTGCAAAGGAGACATAAGTACACAGGGCCGTGGTGTCCATAGTATTGCTTGTCCATTTGAAGCTACAATGTATCTACAGGTTTGAGTTTTTTTTTTGGTCAAATAATATCTGTATAATGTAAGCATAAAGTCTCTGGTACTAATAAAAAATCAATTTAATAATGATACTCCAATATTTATTGCTTCATTTTAAAATAACATTCCACTCTTAACAAGATTGGCAGCAGTTTTGATTATATGTTGGCATATAAATACGAAACTAAAT